GGGAAAAAAAGAGGATGGAAATCAATCTAAACCAGATCCAGAATGAAGCAGTCATGTGAAAGAGAGGCTATTGACTCAGAAGCTCCAATTAGATTGTTCTAAACCTACAGTGCAAATTTTGGGATACTACCATCTCTGACCTAGGTGACAGCACCAGTTCTAAAATGCTGCATCTTTCCTCTAGGCATGGGTGGTTGCTGGGCTGCATCTTTCCTCTAGGCATGGGTGGTCGCTGGTTGTCTTCCCTCTCTGACCAAAGAAAAGATGTTTTAACTGAGCTCACATTGAGCAGGACAGTTGTTACTCAGGGGGATTGCAAGTATTTGGCATTGTGCCAAAGTATAAGCAAGTATTGGAATGCCCCAGGTTCAGTGTTCATCGTTCCTTAGTTTGAAAGGACTTGTCTAGAGTCTGGCCTTTTCCCTTTATAATCTCTTTATTAACATTCCTAAATGCATCTGCCAGTTGGCTTTGTTACTTCTCTGGTCTTTGTCAAGCATGGTCCTTTTTGATTTAGCCCTTTATTCTATCTTGTTTGCAGGGTTTGCACGTGGTTGTGATTTGTTAGTGGCAATGTACTTATTCTAAAGGAATACCCAAACTTTTTTTTCTTGGGTGGCAGTAGTAGCTCTGCACCAGCTCTTTGTGTGTGCAGGAAGCACATTGCTATTTCTTCCTTTGCCCACAAGAGAAAAGAAAACAAATGCAACCTCAGTCCTATGCTCCTGCCTCCTTTTGTCCTGTCCTACATTTCTTTGCTTTATTTTCCTCACCCCAAAGTAGGGTTCCTGGACGCTTTCTTCATCCTCCATTCTTTCCAGCTCCATTATCTCTACAATTCCTTAACCTTCTGCTAGGACTCTAGTTTCCTCTCGCTGCCTATGGAAGGCACTCCCCAGCCCTGTGTTCCCTATTTGACCTGCCTGGCTTCTGAGGCCTGAGGCAAAGTGCAAGTCCCCGAACTGGGTGTTTCTTGACAGTTGCTGTGGAGCTGGCTTGCGAACTGGGACAGCAACAGCAAGCTACCCCTGGCAGCTCTTCAGGAGTAACTGCCTGCATGGAAGTGCTTACCGTATTGATCATATAGGTGTGCCTATAGTGAGGTGGGAGCTGCTATCATTGTCCAGCATAGACATACTACTACCAAATGGTATGGAGATTACAGTTTGGGAACCTGTAGATGCAGAAAGCTTCATCCTGCCATTACTTGCTGTTTCTTCTCCTCTCTTTGAGGAGGTACTTATGGATATTAATGGTGAGCAGGATTTGGCACACACTTGGGGAATTAAGCAGTTTGGAACAGAGGGACATTTTCAAAGGAATAAATGGGAAATTAATTTTCCCCCTTTTCCCTGGAAGCTGGTAGGGTGTAAGAAAATTAAATACTTTTAAAACTTTATTCACTTTGCCTGGTTTAGGAACAGTATTTCTTGGGAAAGTATCTCTTGTTTGGGAAGAGATGAAGGAGAGGGGAATTGGTTTTTTTTGGGGGGTGGGGGTTAAACAACCTACTTGCTAACTTTAGGAGTGTCAGGGGAAAGGAATTGCCCTTCCCCTTTCTTGTCTCTTGTGCTTCTAGGAAACCCTTCATCCCTAAAGGAAGCTAAGAGGTTTAGGGAGGAGATGCAAGTGCTGTAACAAAATTCAGCAAACCCACCTTCCATTTACTAACAAATATTCAGTCTTTAAGTACATGGGACAGCTTTGAAGATGTCATACAGTAGTGCATTGCCGAAGTGCCAAAGTTTATAGGCACTTGTGTGGTAGCATCCGTATATATTTTTGCTTCTGTTTTGCTGCATTCATATCAGTTTGGGCAGCATTTCATAATTTCTGAGTGCCATTTATAGCATAGAGCTCTCCTGAGACTCCTGCATGTGTGCTTAACTCCAGATCTCTGCTCTGTGTGCATGCAGGCGTGATGGAAACATGCAAACTGGGAGCTGCTTACAGCTTTGAATACTGACTTGCTAGAGTAGGCACTTACTTTGATAGCCAGAGGAGTATTTCCTTTATGGGTTATGATAATGGTTAGAAAATACACGTGCCGGTTTTGGGATCCATATGTTACACTATTACTGTGACTCCAGCCATTTCAGGGTGAGCAAGCACCATACAACACAAATCACTGGGAGCTGAGTAAATATACAGGCTGTTCTTGTTCTCTCTCTGCTCTAGGAAGCCTGTTTGTGGCCTGCCAAGCTGTAAGTACTCTTCTTAGTTTGGCAGAGTCTTCTGAAATACTCCATTTGTTACCTGTGGAGCGTGTCAAGAGCTTGGTGACGTAAGTAAACTCTGCCTGGTCCTTGTGATTCTCCTTGGTATGGCAAAGAGTTGACTTTGCCTTTATGTAGGGGCTTGCTAAATGCCTATTTGTGTGTTGCTTGTTCTGTTATGCCATCATGTTACTTCAGTATTGTGGTTATGTAAATTGGCAATGTTGTAGGCACTGTTTGTTTGGAGAACCAGGTAGATGTAGTACCTGTTCAATCATGTTTTCTCTGCAAACTGAAGCTTTTTTAGGCAGCTGCAGGGTAGTGTGTCAAGTTCATTGGTTCTAATTTTACCTCGGAGTGCTACACTTAATAACTGTATGTTACATTATAATGATAAGAGGACAGGAACAGCCTTTGAGTTGTGTCAAATGCCTGAACTTCTGCAGGCTGTGGGTGGTGTTCGATTTCCCCCATGACCTTACATATCATGTGTGTGCATGCTTCACAGTGCGGAGGAGGTTTGGTGTGCTCCATTTTATTTGTTGTAACTCTGTTCTACTTATAATTAGCACATGTAACTGAGTGGCTGAAGGGATTAAGGGAGACCGCTGATTTCTCTTCAGCAAATCCTGCTAAATTTGTTATCTTCCATCACTGTTGTGCTGGAGCATCTCCAAGTCTTTGGTGGTTTGAGCTTCAAAACATCCTGTTCAGTTAGGAAATCATGGTGCCCATGTGTGAAGCCAGGTGTGATGGAGATGAAACACCTTGCCCAGATCAGGCAGGGAGTCTTGGCAGAGAGCTTCAGTCTAGTGCTTTGGGCTGGGGGTGTGAAACCTGCTTGGAGCAAGGGATGTAAGGTAGCAGAAGGAGGTTTCCCTGTGGGCAGACAGGATTCCTGGTGACTCACCTAGGCCTGGATTATTTCTTTTCTGTTGATCACTGACTAGGCACCTAGGCAGTAGCAGCAGCCCTCTTCTGACCTATGTGGATTTGTTTTCTGCAGCTGTGCGTATGTGGGTCCAGCCTGCTAGCCCAAGCTTTATAAGACTGATTAAGGCAAAAGAGGGATCTTATGGTTCTTGGGCTGTTGTTGGTCTTTGAGACTGCAAGCCAGCATGATGGTTAAGTCTGACTTCACCAGCCTTCTGGTTGCCAGCAGCGTCCTGTGGAATTTTCCCTTAATATTATTATTGTCACTACTGCCTTATTTTCAAATATCTGTATTGTTGCAGTGCTCTCTATATGCTAATAAAACACTCTGTTGTTTTAGCACTTTCCCTTCAGACCCGTCTGCGTTACTGTTGGCTGATCTCTATTACACAAGGTTGGCATTGTGTGGCTGCCAGGAACCCCTTTCTCAAGGGAACATAATGGACTTGTTTGAGAAGCTGCATCCTAATATTTCCACTGGTGTTTCCAAGGTAATTTGCTTTTCTGAGCATGTGAAAGATAATTTGTATTTTATCAATGTAATTTAAGTAAATTGAGTTAAGTGACAAAGACTGAAAGGAGAATCATGAGACTGTGTAAAGCTGTTATTTTGTAGTATCTGTTTAGGACTGTGTCCATTCTAAGAGGCCGCTGTGGACCATGAGTTAACAGAGGTTAACTTTTAGTCCTGCAAGGCTTGCCTCTTCCCTGGAGGTGAATTGGAGCAGCAGCCTAACGTACTCATTTTTGCATTGCCACCTAGACTACAGGAGCTCATCTGTTTCTCAACTGTAGGAGGAACCTAGTGAAATAAGCCTCTGTGCAAAACATTATCCTTCGTGTAGGTGCTTCTCTGTCTGTTGCGTAGCCTGCATTCTCCTGAACGCTTCTGATGTATGTTTCCACTTTGGATAGGTCCGGCTATTGACTGTTCGAGTTCTAAGCCATTTTGAGAATCCATCCCCTACACGGATTGAGGTAGAGATAAAACTTTTAATTTAACATTTCAAAGGCATCTGTGTTTGATGTTGGGTGTGAACCGTTTTCCGCTTTGCAGAAACAAAGCACGTAGAGATTATCCTTTGCTTTTGTGCTTTCAGACTCCAGTTTTATCTCTTTGTCCTCCTGCATCCTGCTGGTTTTGGATGTGTGAGCTTTTATGTCTAAGTGGTGGAAACCAGAGCAAGTCACTCCGTGTAGTTTTGTTGAAATACCTGTCAATGGGAGAAGGATACTGTAACAAAATGCATGTCACTTGCTTGTTCAGGGTGATGGCACAGGGGAACTCCAGCCATTATTTGCCATATTGCTCCAGGCAGAACTTGTGCCAGCAACAGTGAATGATTACAGAGAGAAACTCCTCCATTTGAGAAAACTAAGATGTGATATAGTGCTGTCTGCAATACCAAGTGGATCTTTGCAGGAGGTAAGTAGTTATTGTCAAGAAGCAGTCGTCACATTCCTTTATTCCAAGAGAACCTTTTATTCCATCACATGGATTGCAGAGTTTTTAATAAGAGTTCATAAAAAGATAAGTTAGTTCCCAGATTAGATTTTAGAAAACTTTTTAGTAAGGATCACAGCTCCCATTGTCCTTGGGACTATTGTGTTCTCTTGGGTATTATTGAGCAGAACAGCGGTGATATCTAGATAAATGGCTCACATTAATCAGGTTTTTATATCATGGAAAGGAAAGCAAATGATTCTAGGGAGAAGTGAGTTGTGAGCAAATACAATATCATGACCTTGCCATACCCTCAGCATGGTTGAACGTTGGTAGGACTTCCATTGGCCATTGGAGAGCCTAGCTTCTGGATTTTGCTGCAGGGTGAAAATCTTGTATGCCTGTGACTGTTGAATCTCCTCTGCTATTGAGCTAAAGGAGACCTCACTTTCTAGATGTTGGAAGGGTCACAATTTTGCTAGTTAAATGAATGTGGATTTTGTGGGAAGGGGTTGCTTTTATTATTTTTCTGGCTGTTGCTATACCTGTATAATTTTTTTACCTTGTAAAATAAGTTTGTAAACTTTGTGAGCTTTGTAAGCTCCTGTGAGGAAGGGTTATAGGTCAGTTCTACTGCATGTAGGTCAGCAAGGAGCCTATCCAGAGGACATGCTTCTAGGCCTAGTGCAGTGAAGACCCCTCTTTCTGAGATCCTTAATGCTGCTATGGCAGCCCTGAAGTTCAAGAGGGAGTCATGCAGTCTACGTTATTCTGCTGTGCTGAACTGGTTTTTGCACATTCATGGTATGTAGGTATTGTGACTGGATCTCAGTGAAGCTTACAATAAATGGGCTTTAGATTTTCTCATGCAGTTCTGAGACAAGGAGTGATGATGTGTGTGACTTGCTGCATTTCTTGTAGTACTTCTGAGAACTTTTCTGAACAAAGTCTTTGAGAGGAAGAAAGGTTAGAGGAGTTGACAGATCTTTATTGGTTTTTTATGTCTCAACAAGATGGCATTGTATGTCATTCTAGGTTCCTCTTCGGTATTTACTGGGAATGCTTTATATTAACTTCAGCCCTCTCTGGGATCCTGTAATTGAACTCATAACGTAAGTATATGCAGTTGGATGCTGCAACCTGTGCTTGTCATGCAGAACGTTCCTTCCATTGTTCTGTGAAAAAAAAGCTGTGGTAAAAATGTCTGGTTTGGAGAGATCTCTGTATGAGAACCTTAATGTGAAATCATCTGAAATAAATTTCAACTCTCAAATAAATCACACTTTGGGTAGACTCTAACTTAGTTTCTGATTTTTCTTACTATTGCAGGGAATTTGCAACAAATATAGTCAAATAGCATCAGAGTTTTCAGTTAAAGGTAGCAGGATTTGATTAGTGTTTCATAATTGCTTAAAGGAGCAAGAAGTCCCTCTCATTTTCCCTGTCTCTGACTTTTCTATCCTCACTGGAAAACCTCTAAATCCTACTAAAGAGTAGGGAAGTCTCACCATCGTGACAGCAAAGCTGAATACTGAAATCAGTGTGTTCTTTCAGCATGACTTTATCTTCTTTTTTTTTTTTCCATTCTCTTGTGTGATTAAAAAGGATGGGATTTTTTCCCCTTCAAACTAGTGAATTAATAAAAAAAATTAAACCAGCTCTTCAAAAGATATGTCAATGCTAATTCTTCCTTTGGTTCTATATGATGTCACTGTACAGAAGTCAGTAGAAATCTTGAACATTTTCACTCAATTCGAGTTCATTTGAAGTCATGAGATACAACCATATTATTTTAATAACAATTGACATTTGGGATGCACGAGTAAAGGCAAGGAAGTGCTACAGGTGTATCATGCAGATATCCTGTCTTTGGACACCCACATTAAAGCAGTGATCAAAGCCTCTGTATTAGTTGTTAGCTTGTCTAGTGCTGTATTTTGATAGTGACGAATTTTCCTTTTAATTTCGTGCTGTTTTATGCTTTGTTAGATCTTATGCAAAGGAAATGGAGAATAAACAGTTCTGGAAGGTCTTATATGAACATTTGGAGAGAGCTGCTACCTATGCTGGTAAGTCATGACTCCTAAATATTGTTATGACAGTAATCCAGCTAATTGTGAATGACATGACTCTGGTTTTATGTGCCCCAAATTTACATGTGATGGGGGAATTCAGAACCAGGGCTCTTAACTACCAGCTTCGTGTCCAGGGAAGGAATGGAGAGGCTTGGGGAAAAACTGTCTCCTGTCCTGAACACCATGAAGTAGATAGAAAAGGTACCTGCCTTACAGGGGGAGGTGCAGGTTGTGGGAAGCCATGCAGCAGTTTTGTCCCTGCTTACGGCTGGTGCTGCCCAGTCTGATCAGGAGCAGTGACAAAACTAGTATAATGGGGCTGACCATCTTTCTGCTCCATAGGTTGAGTGGAGTTCCTGCAAATAGTGTCTTTCTTGGGTGAGCTCTTGATGTTGGGTATATGGAATCTATGGTTTCATGATAGAGCCATGAGCACACAGCCATTTGTGGATTTCTCTGTTATGTTCAAGACAATTGAGCTTAACTGAGATGCATCATGGCTGTAGAACATCCTAGAGTACTTTCTAAGCAATGTGGATCTTTCAGGTCAGTGTTAAATACATTTGTCTAAACAGGTACATGTCACCAAAAGTAATACTTTTGTAATGGGGGACTGAGCCCTTGCTACTGGTGATTATGAAGTAACCTGGATAGATTTTTTTTCATCTGTTGTACAGAAATGGAGCTGCAAAATGAACTAGATGAACAGGAGGAAAGCATTGCTGAAACAGAAAGTGAGAAGATGCCAGAAGGAGGAGTGGGAGCTGTCTTCCTGGAGCAGCTGAAGACTAGAACGGATTGCAGTGTGCGACTGGACCACACAAACTTCCGTTTTCTACTGTGGAAAGCACTATATAAGTTTCCAGACAGAGTGGAGCCTAGGTCAAGGGAACTTTCCCCACTTCTTTTGAGATTTATTAGGTAAGTAAGATTTATTTTTAAGTTGGGAGGACACATTGCTTTCAGTGTGTTGCTGAGATTTATGACTATGGCTATCCCAATATAGACTTGATTTCCTAAATGTATGGGTGATGAGATTACTGTTTCCAGTTAAGGCAGCGTTTTAATCGAAATGTGGATTCTGTTAGAAACATCACACAAGCAGGCTGAAATTAAACTGGCAGTACATTTCTGCTGTTCAGTCTCTCATTTATTGACTTGACACTGTCACAGCCTCATTACTTCATTAGGAAGTGATTTCAGTGAAAATACAGTTCCTTTTTTTAAAAAATGAAAATACATTTCAATTTGGAATCACAGAAGACAAGATGAGGGAAATACTGATTTTGTTGGAGGCTAATTCAGTTTTCAGCCCCTGGAGGGAGAGCAGTGGTGTGCTTGCATGCATGTACGTAGCAGATAGTTTGATGTGCATTGGGTACCTGTGATCTCATGGCAGGGGAAGGTTTCTGATACTCCTGTCGTTAGAAAACCTCTGTTTTGCTTGCCTTCTGGAAAAATTGAACCATACTGCAGTAGGTTAGTTTTTTCACTTACTCTCACACTGCCATACTCACTGTTCACCTACCCAATTGAGCAAACAATCCACATGTCCTCCACATACCCTCTTTACACACCTCCAGTAATTCAGTGATTCATGTTTCTCTTCTCTCCACCAGGTACCTCGTCTCCTTTAGTGTATTTGATCAGAGCCTTATATCCCTACAACTTGCAGGCAAAGAAGCATATACTTGCCGAAATATGCTGCTTTGGAAATTATTAGGCATGTCCCAAGACATGGTGCCATTAGTAATGAGAAGGGTGGACTGGATTTTTTAGTATTTCTTGCCCTGAAATCCTGAAAAATGCTGTTTCTTAATTCTTTCCTTCTTTCTTATTTTTAAACACAGAAACGAGTACTACCCAGCAGATTCATTGGTGGCTCCATCTCAGGATCTTAGAAAGAAAATTAGTCGTACAGTAGCAGCAAAAGAAATACCCAACGAAGAGGGGAATGATGTTGCTATGGAGGAGGAGGAGGAGGAAGAAGAACAGGAAGAAGGGGAACCAATTACCGTAGGATTACCAAAAAAGAAAACAAGAAGAGCTGCTGCTAAGTAAGTATTTTTAGTTTTCCCTTGCTAGTGTTTTCATGAAAAGGCCAATTCAGCAGCTCCTGTTTAGATAAAAGCTGTGTTTTTGTATATATTACTTTTTATTCTTTTGCTTGCCCTTCATAATTTTGCAGTGGATTATAAGCGCTTTAGAGTCAGAAACTCTTTCTGCACTCTACTAAACATCCAAAGACCCTGCCCGGGCTCTGTCATTGTCTCATTACCTGCTGACAGTGTGTGGTGTGTGTTACTTTAAGCAAGAGTTATGTGGTATTCTGAAGCCATTCTGAAGTTTTTGCAGACTGTTGTACCTGCATTCCTTTGGCTTCTCTGTGTGTATCTGTTGGCCTTTTAAAACGGTAGACATTGCCAAACACTTTAAAAAATGAGACCATTCAGGTGTCTAAATAATGAGATTCTGCCATTGCCTACCTGTTATAAATCTCAGTTCTGGTCTTCTTAGGGACAAAGATTTTTTTTTTATTTGGTGGTGTTTTAGACTGAAGCTACATGCTGTTGTAATGTCATTGTTTGCTATGCTGAATACGTGGATGTACTGGGTCTGGCTGAACTGGAATTGGTTTTTCCCTACAGCAGCACCATGGTGCTGTGTTTTATGCTGGGAGCTGGCAGGGTGTTGATAGCACTCTGGTGTTGTGGCTACTGCTGAGCAGTGCTTACACAGCACCAAGGCTCTTTCTGATATTTCCCCCAGTGGGACGGGGTGGGCAAGATCCTGGGAGGGGACACAGCCAGGACAGTATCTGGAGAGTTCAGTGTAAGCTACTAGGGGGAGCAGCTGGATGAGGACAACCTCTGCCAGCCCCACAGATGGTAGATGAGATCTCACACTTTCCTTATCCTGGTCACCTCTTTCCTCCCACAAAGTGGAGATGGAGCAGATGTGGGGTGACAGCCACTTCTAGAGGAAATGACCCCGACCTGTGCTTGCAGTCTGGCATAAGTGCACCACAGTCTGGGGCTAAATACAGCCCTTAATGTTGATAGGAGTGAAATGGGCACCATTAAGGACAAGTGAATAAATAGAGAGGTGAATTCACCTGTTTGGTGTTCTAGGCTGAACTGGCAGAAAGTAGTAAGCTGCATCCTGACTGTTTGTATTCCTTTCTCATCAAAAGCTGAGCCCATCTAGTGCTACTAAGAAACTGGCCTTATCTGGAAAGAGCTGTTTAGGAGAGGGAACAGGATATTGCTGTGTCTCTGAAATGGAGGCCTGTAGACTTGGGATCCTCTTGTGTTGTTTTTTATTTTCCTTTCTTGTTAATTAATTTTAATAAGTTCCTCATTTGTTTATGATAATGAAGGATTGTCTCTGGTCATTTTGAAAAATAATTGTTTTGGTTTGTTTTACAGGCAACTAATAGCCCACTTACAAGTTTTCTCTAAATTCTCAAATCCTCGTGCATTGTATCTGGAACAGAAGTTGAATGCATTATATACCCAGGTGATGCTATTTGCTGACTTTTAGAATTACTGCTAATAAACTCATTCTTACTTCAACACAGTGTCTGAAACTGCAGAAACCTGTAATTTTCTGAACCCAGCCATGATAGCTGAAAAAGGAGCTGTTCTTGCGAGGGCTTCCTAGCAAGCTTCACTTGAAATGAGACCTGTTTTAACGGAGACCTGCTTGAGATACGTGGCTTGGTTTGCTCATGCAAACAGATCTGGCAGTAGGCAAGTAATAGTCTTTGTCAAGGTGCAGAAGTGGCTGTAGAGGGAGTCTGTTCAACTTGCACAGCAGTATCTGGAAGAGGATTTTAAATTCAAAGCTTGGGGAAGTTGTGACAGTCAAGAGTATGGTCATTGCGAACAACAGATCATTTTGCATCAAAAAAGGAATACAGAATTTCTTCCTGAAGAATATTCAGTATAAGATTCATTTTTGAGGGATTTCCTTGAAGAATTTGTCAAAACTATTGACTCTAAAGAGTAATTCTAAGTCTTTATCCTACACTCCTTAAAAGAGTATTTTATTAATTTTATTGGGTTTTGTTGGTTCATGATTTGTGGATTTGTTCAGATCATTGCGTTTTGCTCTAATTGTTCCCAATTTGTGTTCTCTGAGGCTGTGGACAGGGGGCTGTGGAACTGTATTAAATGGTATGAACCTGTTATTTCCCTGGGCTCGAACTGGTACCTGGTGTTAGAGTTGGAAGATCCATTCATTAGTCCCCAAATTAGAGAATCTAATGAATATTCACGCTGTTTCGGTCAACCTGAGAGTTTTGCTTAGGAAAAGAGCTGGTCCATGTGTTTGCTTGCCTGTATTCTTAGGAAGATACTGAACAGACATTTAGGGGTCAAAACAGCATGTGAACAACAGCCTGACAAGAAATATTTCTTCAATTGCTGTTTTCCATTTCTGTGTCTTACTATTTGTGTTGTCATGGTTGGTATGTCCATCCAGTGTAGGGACGTAATGGCAAAGTGACCTTTGATGATTCTAGCCTGTGCTCTTTGGTTGGAGACTGAAGAACTGATCAGAATGCCACTTGGGGAAATGTTCTGTATTT